AATGAATTGATTTTTAAAATACTGTTTATCGCAATGTATCAATATTTGGAAACTTTATATAATTCAGAACTTATCTTCCAAATAATCATTGCATGATGTTGCAACATGGAAAAAACGCTTGATGCTCTATTAGATATTTGAAAAATCTATGCAAGTACAAGGAAAAATAGCAACAAGTAACTGAAGACTATTAAAATATTCCTTTTCTTAGCTACCTAGCTGTGCGAGGTTAAATCTTTTTCATATACTTTTAACAAAATAACAGATTAGACACAGATAATTGAATCCAGGTATCTTATATTTAGCCAGACATAAAAGAACTGCAAAACTGTAAAAATTATTCCACTCATGTTTTCAAAAAGTTGTTTTTCCTAAGAATGCTGTGACAATATGCAACGGGTTAACTTTCATTTTTTTTAAGTAAATTAATAACTTTAAGTTCTTAGTTTTTTTTTTCTTTTTTGAGATAGAGTTGCACTCTGTTGCCCAGGCTGGAGTGCAGTGACCCCATCTCGGCTCACTGCGACTTCCTGCTCCCGGGTTTAGGCGGTTCTCCTGCCTCCGCCTCCCGAGTAGCTGGGATTACAGGCACGTGCCACCATGCCCAGCACATTTTTTGTATTTTTAGTAGAGACAGGGTTTCACCATGCTGGTCAGGCTGGTCTCGAACTCCTGGCATCAAGTGATCCACCCACCTCGGCCTCTCAATGTGCTGGGATTACAGGCGTGAGCCACCGCGCTCGGCCTTAAATTCTTAGTTTTAAATTTATAATATTATAAGCTACATAAACAAAAGCACTCCGGAGGTCCTAGATCATTTTTAAGAGTGTTAAAAAGTACTGAAACCAAAAAGTTAGACAACGTCTGCCATACAGTAACACTACTGTTTCTGACTTGTTAGTAATGCTTTAAAAACAATTTTTCCTACTGCTAGTCAAGGGGCCAGTTTCCTCTTTATCCACTAGAGGTTCTATATTTATCATCTGGTTAACCTGCAAAAGATAATTGTTGTTAACTGGATTTATGCATACATAAAGAACAGTTTATGGTTGTAAGCAAAACTGTGAAGTATTGGGTTTTTCGCAAGCATTTTTTAGAAAACACTTTCTCGGTGTAAGTTATCAAGTTATATACAATTGTCAATACCTGCTTTGTTGCAGCGTGTCTTAAAAATTTCAAAAAAAGTTGGCCTCTCTTTGGATCCAATAGGCATTTTTACCTACAATATTCCTCCAACGTTTGGTAAATAAGTCTGCAAAACAGAAGATCAAAATGCACTTATACAGGGATGCATTTCTTCTTATGTGACCGAGGTGAACATCAGAAGCGCTGGACAGTTTGTCTGAATTCTTATTCAGTCCCATCTCCTGGGACGATAACAGCTTACTCTGAGGATGGGAACATTCTACAGTTGTGCTGTTCAAACAGGTGCCACTGACATTAAGTACTCGAAACGTGGCTAGTGAGACCAGAGATTTTCATACGATTTAGTTTCAATCACGCTAACCAGTGACGCGTGGTTAGTGGGGACAGCGGGCTCCTGTTACAGACCAAAGCAGCCTGATGATTCCCAATCAGCATGTCTTCGGAACACAGCAGTTACCTGGGGCTTAATTAAGGCAGATACAGTGTGCCCAGCAGCTGTAAAACACTTCCCCAAAACAGCAATATTCCGTTAAAGTGATCGTGGTTCCAATTAAAGAAAATTTCAGATGGCGCCATCTGGGACAGCTGGGAGGGAGGTAACTGAGCGACTGGCGGAGCCCAAAAGTTGGGCTGAGGCGGGAAACGGAGACCCAGGGAAAGGGTGGGGCTCAAATGTGCTCGGCGAAAATTTGCCTTCGGGACAAGGACCTTCCTCTCAGGCAGGGGTGGGGGTTGGCAAAGACAAAGGGCTTAGAGGCCGCGGCTGCGACCGGGGGCGTGTGGCGCTCCCCCGCCACGCTGGACTGGAACTGCGGAAGACGCGCCCGTCTCCACCCCCGCTGCCACTAACCCGCTCCAGAAGTGCAGCTCTTTTTTGGCCGGAGTAGGCTGACAAAAACCGCGCGGGTCACAAATCTGTCCCCTCAGGCTTCTTCCCGTGGCGACCCACCGTCGCAGAAAAGACCGGAGGCACCACAGCAGCTCCGCCTCCGCCGCCTTGTTTCAGACGCTCGCGCCACGAGCCCGCGCTGACCACGTGACGCCGTGACGCCGTGACGCCGTGACGCGATACGCAGCACGCGCACTACCCGGAAGTCAGGCCTGGGTAGGCAGCTGTGGGTGTTTCTCAGTGTGGCGAGAGGAAGTTGCTTGTCAGATGTCACAACCGTCAGTCTCGGACCGAATAAAGCGGTAGCTGGAGTGTGTCTCCCCTTCTCGCTGACCCTTAAGAGTCCTAGACCACCCTTCTTGGAGGGGCCGCCCCTATGCCTACTCCAAGTCCCCGATCTCTTTCTTTTTGCTCCAGTTCCTGTTGGAGCCCTAAGAGTGAGCGCCCTCGGGACGTGACTTGGGAGCTTTGAAAGACCTTTGTTCTGACCTTAAAAGGCATGTTCTCTCAAGACCTGTTCCCTAAAGCGAGCCGATCTTACAAAAGCTTAGAGCGTGGATGACTTCTTCACTTCGTGGTAGTGGGCGGGGCTGTTATTTGAAATCAGAGGATTTTAGTTCCAGTAGGTGTGCTGCTCTTGGGTGGCAGGTGTTCAAGACTTCCGAGCCTGTTTCCTTGCTTGAAAAATTGTGAAACCCATCTTAACTCGCTCATACAGTGTTAGGTGCCTCGCTCCGCAGGCCTCGGTAGTATCTTTTGCATTCTTAGGATTCGGATCACCTGTCTTCCTCACAGGCTGAACTGGAAGACCTGACTTCATCTCTGAATTCGTAGGTTCTGTGACATGCAGAATACAAGGCTGAAGAGGGTTTGTTGTAAGACCTACAAAGCCTTCAAATGGATTCAGTGAGAGTTGTTCATGGTGGCCTTGTTCCTTCTAGAAGGTGCTTCAGCAGTAAACAGAAGCAACCCTGGATTAGAAAAAGGCTGGGCTCCACTTGGTTCCTTAGGTGTCATTTTAGTTTGATAATCAGTAATCCTTAGCTGTAGCAGGAGACCTTACTAATGCAGATAGATTCCAAAGCTTTTGCTTTAAGTCTAATTCACAAACACAAGTCTGTGATCCTTGCTGATAATAGTACCACTTACCAAACATTTTATGAGGCAGGCATTCTGCTTTGCACTTTTAAGCAATATCATGTTTAATCTTACAGCAGTCTTATAAATTGGTCAGTATTGTCAGTGCCTGGTAGTAAGGCCCAGGTTTGAATTCTAGTCCACTTGACTTCATACATTTAACTAACCTGTGATTTATTTACTGCATAAATCAGAACAATTTGCTTTGTCCCCTTTTTTGGGGGGGAGGTGTCTCACTAGGAGTGGACTAATGAGAACCCATGGCATGTCACACAAGTCTCCGAAATACATTTTCTCATTATATACACCTCCATACCTTTTTGTTTCTTGTTCTCTTTGTACCGGGGACTTGCCATTCATTAGCTCTACCATAATACACTTTTAAAAAACCTATTCTCTTCTAGTCCAGCTGCTCAATTTCCTATTTGTATTCAATTTACAATATGGTTTAATTTTGATTAAAAACATATTTCCAGCTGGGTGCGGTGGCTCACGCCTGTAATCCCAGTACTCTGGGAGACTGAGGTGGGCAGATCACTTGAGGTCAGGGGCTCGAGACCAGCCTGGCTAACATGGCGAAAACCCGTCTCTACTAAAAATACAAAAATTAGCTGTGTGTGGTGGCATGCGTCTGTAATCCCAGCTACTTGGGAGGCTGAAAAGAGAGAATCGCTGGAACCCAGGAGGTAGACCCAGGAGGTTGCAGTGAGCTGAGATCATGCCACTGCACTCCCACCTGGGAGACAGAGTGAGGAGACTCCATTTCAAAAAAAAAAAAACCAAACCAAAAAAACATTATTTTCTAAAAGTTGTATATATTTGATGTGCATAACATGATATTTTGATATATGTACATGGTGAGATGATTACTACAGTCAAGCAATTAACATATCATCTCTTCACATAATTTTCTTTTGTGTGTGGTGAGAGCACCTGAAATATCTCTTCGAAAATTTCCAGTATAAAATACAGTATTGTTAACTGCAGTCATTATGCCATACATTAGATCTGTAGACTCATTCTTTCTAACTGTAACTTTATAGGCTCTGGCCAGTCTCTCTCCATTCCTCCCCACTTCCTGTCCCTGGTAACCACAATTCTACTTTCTCCTTGTATGTATTTGACTTTTTCAGATTCCACATATCAGTGAGTTTATGCAGTATTTTTCTATCTGGCTTACTTCACTTCGCGTAATATCCCCCCAGTTTCACCCAATTTGTTGCAAATGGCAGGATCTCCTGTTTTAAGGCAGAGTAATATTCCATTGTAGAAATACATGCCACAATTTCTCTATCCATTTATCTGTTAACAGACAGTTAGGTTGGTTCCATAACTTGGCTATCGTGCATCATGCTGCAATAAACAAGGAAGTGAAGATATCTCTTCAGGATATTGATTTCATTTCCTTTGGGTAAATACCCAGTAGTGGGATTGCTGGATTATCTGGTACTTCTATTTACTTTTTTGAGGAATCTCCATACTGTTGTCCATAATGTCTGTACCAATTAACATCACCACATTACCTTACAAAGGATCTTTAGAATGGTCACTACAGGAATAAGTGAATGAGTCACTAACTAAAGCATGTGTGTGAATAAGCTGGAAATCAAAAACAGCTTTGAAAAAAGATTCCTGAAGAGTGAATTGAAGAGATAGGGAAAAGCAATTAGGTAGGAATCAGGTGGCAATTAGACATCTGTAGATAGAGCTGCTCTCCCTCAATCAGGGTAATAGGCAGCAGCTCCCATTAGAATCTAAAATAAATGGAGAAGCCAGGAATGAATCTGAACCAACTTGATCAGGAGAAAGAAGGGGCGGATGAAGGAGGAAGGCAAAATAAGGACACAAACCGCAGTAGGATATTAGGCTGCGCCTGAGCACCTGCTGAGCGGATGGAGCGCTTTGTTCGTGTTCCCTATGGCTTGTACCAGGGCTATGGGAACACAGTACCTTTAGGCCAGCCCGGACTCTCAGGGCACAAACAGCCCGACTGGAGACAAAATATGGGTCCCCCCATTTTCCTGGCTAGGCCAGGGCTGCTGGTGCCCGCGAACGCCCCTGACTACTGCATGGACCCTTACAAGAGCGCGCAGCTTAAGGCCATTCTCTCCCAGATGAACCCCAGCCTGAGCCCGCGGCTGGGTAAAGCCAACACCAAGGAGGTGGGCGTGCAGGTGAGCCCGCGGGTGGACAAGGCTGTGCAGTGCTCGCTGGGGCCTCGCACCCTGAGCAGCTGCTCCTCCTGGGACGTCAGAGATCCCCGGGGCCCCCTGCCAGCCTGTGGGGTCACTTCGCCTGCCACCGGCCACAGGGGCTTGATCAGCCTGCGGAGGGATGAGGATGACAGGGAGAGCAAGGCACTCCTGGGCCCTGCGGAGGCCAGCCAGCCGCGGTCACCACCACCAAGGTCAGAAGCTGACAGGCAGGAGGAATCCGGGCAGCTGGAGGAATCGGGGGAGAAAGACGCCCTGCGCTCTCAGGAAACCAAGAGCAAGCAGGCGCCTGGAGACACTGCCGCCAAGCCGCTCCGGAGGCCTAACTTCCAGGTGGACCCTCCCTTCCCTCTTAGTCCTCGGTCAGCCCCATCCTCTCCCTCCTTTTTCTTCTATGGGGCCAATAAAAGCAAAATCTTCTCTCTCTTCCTCCATGTACTTGGGGAGGGAGAGGGAGCTCTAAAAACATGTATTTCACGTGGCCTGTATGTTTGGTAAGTTTTGGGTAAAATAGGTACCAGCCCAAATAAGCCTATGAAAACCAACGGTCTGGCAACCACTGCTCTTGGGGAATTTGGAGACGAAGAAGGTCTTCAAGTCTGTGTCATAGGAAATCAGACTTTCGTTTTGGGAAGATTTGCCGCTGGCATTGTGGAAAATGACTTAGAAAAGTAGAAAAGACAGCAGCAAGAAGAATCCCAGCGTCATCTTTAAGAGAGATGAGAAACTGAATTAATGCAGTAGTTTTGAGAATATAGTGAGGTTAAACGAGTTACGTTTTCCTTATACAAAGCCGTAAGGAAAGAAGGATCTGGTTTTTTTCTCTTCGCATGATGGTAAAGTACTGTCCCCCTTTATTTTCAGTTTCTGGAACCAAAGTACGGCTATTTTCACTGCAAAGACTGTAAGACCAGGTGGGAGAGTGCTTACGTGTGGTGCATTTCTGGAACTAACAAGGTAAGTAAAAGTGAGCGAGGGGTGAGAGGAGAATGCGGTGGGCACAGGTGCAAGCGGGGAAGCATCTGATTCCTGAGGGAGCTTGGCTCTCACAGTCCTGTCTTGATCGTGGTGGCATCCCCAGTGCCAGGTGTGTGGGAAGTGCCGAATGAATGTTTGAATGGAACCGAATCGGACTGTCCACCTGAGTTTCCGAACCAGATTCTGGTGTTATATTGGACAAAATGTCAGGTTACTTAGATGAACCTTTGTCCTTGTCTACATTGGAAGTTTTTGTCATCGTTTTTTAGTTGGTACGTTTGGAAAAGGTCTGGGCCTTAGCGCTAGGAAATTTCCACGTTTGTCCACAAGGTGGGGCAATAAGTGAAAAAACTTACCGTAAAGATGAGCCTGTAAGAGACTGACTTAGGCTGCGTGGAAGGTTTCTTTTGCCCCCTTCCTAATTTAATTGCCAACATATTAAGATTGGAAAAGACTTCACGTTAAATTCTGCATTTCTGCATTTTCATGAATATCATAGGCTCTGGTCATTATAGACCCTCGTTTGAGAATGAGAACAGCAGGCTGCCCTAAGTCTTCGTCTGCTTTTCCTTGGCCTGTGCAGCTCGTTTTGCAGCAGCCTGCATGGCCGGATGTTGTTAACCTCCGTCAGCATTTGAATGTGAATGCCCTGTGCTGTCGCATGTTTAGAGCTTGCCTTACTGGCCAAAGGACTGGAGAGAGAGGGCAAAAAGGCATTGACTTCCGGATGAAAGCTTGACTTCTCACACTAGCCGTTTACTAGAGACCTAGAGAGCGAATAGATTTTTTAAATTGAAGTTAAATTTACTTTTCTTCTCTTGCCAGAGGAAAAACGAGTTTAATTCAAACATTCCAAGGCACTAGGATACAAACAACAAAACATACAACTCTTTCTCAAGGAGTTTATTTTGATAGGAGGGACGGAAGCAAAATGTAATTTGGCAACGCATGCCGTAGCATCCTTCCCATGGAAGCTGTACAGAGATAGTACAGGAAGGAGGGGATTAGCCCTGTCTGAGGATAGATGGCTTGATGTCCAAGCAGGATTTTAAAGAATAAATAGGAGGAAGAGTTTACCAAGCAAGGCAGGGAGAAAGTATGCAAAAGAAATTGCACAAAGTCTAGAGACCACGTGGTATTGATGGGTAACCACAAGTAATTTAAAGTTTAAGCTGGGAAACACTGAAAAATGAAACATGTAAGAGCTAATAGACCAGGACAAAAAGTCTAACAGCCACTTCCCATTGAGCATCTACTGTGATACTTGGTGTACATTATTGGGGCATTTTCAGAACTATGGAAAAAGTATTAATAGTATTATTCCGGCCAGGTGCAGTGGCTCAGGCTTCTAACCCCAGCACTATCGGAGACTGAGGTGGGTGGATCATTTGAGGCCAGGAGTTCGAGACCAGCCTGGCCAACATGGTGAAACCCCATCTCTACTAAGAATACAAAAAATGAGCCGGGTGTGGTGGTGGGCACCTGTAATCCCGGCTACTCGAGACGCTGAGGCAGGAGAATTGCTTGAGCCTGGGAGGCAGAGGTTGTACCATTGCACTCCAGCCTGGGTAACAAGAGCAAAACTGCATCTCAAAAACAAGCAAAAAATAGTATTATTCCAATTTTACAGGTAAGGAAAATTAGATTCAAAGAGTAAGAGAGTGACTAATAAGAACCAGTACAGTTTAAAACCTCAAGGGTGGAGGTTGGTACAAGCAAGATACAAGGCAAGGGAATGGATTACTTAAGAACTGGGAGCTTCTGCGGAGTGTGGGTGTGTATAAAAGCTTGTATTTTAAAAAACCATATTTCTCTTTAGGTTTATTTCAAACAACTCTGTTGTAAATGCCAAAAGAGTTTTAACCCTTATCGAGTAGAAGCAATCCAATGTCAGGTGAGCATATGGAACACTTCCACTGTGTTTATAATGTTTCATTCCTAAAATGAAGCCTCTGTGACAAAACGTTAGGATCTGATAGAGTTGAAGGTTGGAATAGGAATGTTCTATATGTTTGAAATTTTATATTTTGGAAAAATGAAAGCATAAGTTATAGTTTGCATCTGTTTTGAAGGGAAAGGGGGAGAGATTCACTGTTTCAAGTTGCCTTATGTGTTGTTTGCTTTTCCTGACACCCTGTGCATAGTTAGAATTTTAAAAGGTAACTGCTATTAACTGTTTACTAAATGCCAAATTTTGGGCTAGTGCTTTACATGCATTATCTCCAGTCATCTAGTCTTTGTGGGAGATGTTGTTCCTATATTATAGATCTGAAAGCTAAGTTTAAAATAACTTTCCTAAGGTTAGATGGATAGTATCAAAGCTCTGACTGGATTCCATGGTGTCTCCAATGTTTAGAAATTCACAGAATTAGGTGAGATCCTTAACCTAATTTTCATAATCAATAATCTTTTTTAACCTAAGTCCTTCACTTAAAAATATTTCTTTTTCTATAATTAGTAGAAGTAAGTGATGATTTGAAGACTTGTAAGTGATTAATCCTCAGATTTTATAGTCCAACATTCTTAGTCTGATGATGTTCAATATAACTACTTATTAAACTGGGTTTAAAGGTATTTTCTTTCTTCTCCACTCCTTTTTCTTTTCTCTTGTGTTCACTTGGATTGGTTTTATAAAAAAATTATTCAGTTTTCCTTTCTATTCTTTAATGTCCTTTTGTGGTTACCATAGAGATAACATCATGACTGCCTGATTTGGGAAAGTTAAATTGTTAATCTTGCCTTTCACAGCCAATACAATGACTTTAGAATGCTCTAACTACATATCATCTCATCCTAACTTGTTGTTGTTGCGTATTAATTTTACCTATATTTAAAACTTCATAAGATTATTTTGTATTGTCAATATTCATTTAGCTTTAGCTACACAGTCTTTGTTATTCATTGTGTCTTTTTGTTTCTGGGGCCACTTTCCTTTGACTTGAACTTCAATATTTTCCACAGTATTGGTATGGAAGTGACAAATTCTATTTTGTCTGGATATCTTTTTAGGATTTTTTTTCTGGGTATTGTTATTTCTGGGTATAGTTGGAAATAGTTCTTTCTGCCCTTTAAGGATCTGAATTTGTTTTTGTGACACAATACAGCTCTTATTGCAGCTCTTTTGAAGTAATCTCCTCTTCTCTCTCCCCTTCTTAAATCTGTTTACTTCTCTTCTCTTATTGCTCTCCGTATTGTTGTTTTCAGCAGTTTTACAATGATGTGCCTAGTTGTGGTTTCTTTATAATTATCTTGCTTGAGGTTCATAGTGTTTTTTGAGACTGCAGCTTGAAGATTTTCATTACTTTTGGAAAATGATCAATGGTTATCTTTTTAAATGTTATTTCTACTCCTATTCCTTCTCTCTCTTCCAATTACTCATATTAGGCCATTGCACCATATTTGTTCCTTTTTATTTTTTTGAGACAGTCTCTCTCTGTTGCCCATACTGAAGTGCAGTGGTGCGATGGTTCAAGTGATTTTCCTGCCTCAGCCTCCCAGGTAGCTGGGAGTATAGGCGCCTGCCACCACACCTGGCTAATTTTTGTATTTTTAGTAGAGATGGGATTTCATCATGTTGGCCAGGCTGGTCTTGAACACCTAACCTCAAATGATCTTTGCCTCCCAAAGTGCTGGGATTACAGCAGTACCACTGTACCTGGCCTCTTTCTGTCTCTTATGCTGTTTTCTATATTTTCCATCCTTTTAGCTCTTCTTGCTTTAGACTGGGTATCATCTACTAAACCGTCTTCCATTTGTATTTCTCATCTCAGCTCTTTTTAATCTGCAATTAAACCCATCCATTGAACTATTGATTTCATTTATTGTATTTTTTTGTTCTAAAATTTCTATTTCTTTAAAAGTAAACTTCAGTTTTTCTGCTGGAAATATTAGTTGTATTTCCTTGAACATATTAGCGTAGTGCTTTTAAAATCTGTTTCAGAACTCCTTTCACTCAATACCCTGTGAGTCTATTGCTGTCCTTTCAAATTTCAAATATGTTGTTCTGTGTCCTCATATATAGCCCCTGGTTATTTCTGATTGAGTGCTAGCTATCACATGTGAAACTATAGTGAGAGTAAACAGTCCCAGATGTCAAGCTCACATCCATTTCTGGGTTTTCTTTTCTAATGCTCTGATAATCTCCCAGTGCTTCAAACAGTTATTTATTTTTAGCTCAGCTTTTCTAGTTGTCCAGGAGGCTTGGTTAGAATGACCTAATCCGCTATTTCCAGAAGCAGATATCTACCTTTAGGGTAAATCTTTATTTTAGTGATCCTCTCTTTGTAAGGATGTTGTGAGAATTAAATGAATTCATATATATCAAGTGCTTAAGAGAGTGCTAGGCACATAGTAAACACCATGTGAGTATTACCTATTAGAATTTTCTTATAAGGAGGCATACTCTTCAACAGAACAATTTGATTAAATCATATTTAAGGCTGCAATTAGAAGCATAAAATGCCTATTTTCACAATGTAAAAAGGTAAATCTTGACTTGCTCTGTATGACTAGGAGACGTATAGAAAATAGAGCAGTGATTATAATTGTCAGAGATCAGCAGGAGTGGGGGGTGGAAACAGGGTAGTAGTCCAGTGTCCATAGGATGTTAATTGTAATTATTGGAAGACAGAAAGGGATAATGGTTGAAAGGCACTATTTTAGATCCTAGTAAAGATTGGGCATGTCTGGAAAGAAACACTTAATTTTCTCTAGAATACCCCTCTCTCCCAGTTATAATAACCCAAAATATATTTAGACATTGCCAAATGTCCACTGGGGATGGAGATGGGAGGAGTAAAATCATCCCTGGTTGAGAATCTTTGCTTTAGTCTTTTTTATTTTTATTTTTTGAGATGGAGTTTTACTCTTGTTGCCCAGGCTGGAGTGTGGTGGCACAATCTCAGCTCATCGCAACCTCCGCTTCCTGGGTTCAAGTGATCCTCCTGTCTCAGCGTCCCACGTAACTGGAATTACAGGCATGTGCCACCATGCCCAGTTAATTTTCTATTTTTAGTAGAGATGGGATTTCACCCTGTTGGCCAGGCTGGTCTCAAACTCCTGACCTCAGGTGATCCGCCTGTCCTGGCCTCCCAAGGTGCCGGGATTACCGGCATGACCCATTGCGCTTGGCCTCTAGTTTTTTGGAAATTTTCATTTAATTCCTACCCACTGTCACTCACTCTGACCTGCCCACAAATATAAAAATCTACATAGTGAAGAAACTCTACGAAACTCTTGACTTAATTTTTTTTCTCTTATATTACATTGGTCTTGATTTGTTCAGCTATAAATGTAAAAATCTACATAGTGAAGAAACGCTACAAAACTCTTAAATTCTTCTTTCACATTATGTTGTCTTGATTGGCTCAGCAGTATTCTCTTGAGTATCTTCTGTGATCATTTATCTTGAAAAAAAAATTCGACATTTAATGTGATACAAGCAGTTTTGTACAACTTTGTCTTGGCCTTCTCATGGGACTCAGAGGATGAAGGTATCAGGAATAGGGCAATAGGGAGAAATATTGTGATTTGAGGATTATATTTGAAACACTAAACTGATCATTTAGCATCCAAACTCTTGTTTCCTAAAGACCTGCTCAAAGTCTCATTGTTCCTGTCCTCAAAAGAAAAGACACATTGATCTAAGGAGGCCTCATCGACAAGAACTGTGTGGTCGCTGCAAAGACAAGAGATTCTCCTGTGGCAATATTTACAGCTTTAAATATGTCGTGTGACTTGTACAGGACCCCTGAGCTCTTCTTGTAACTTGCTGTGCTGTCTTCCTTTTCTGCAACTCGGTTCTGGCATTGGAAAATGGACTAGGCTTTTGTACTTTTTGTAGGTTGTGTAACAATTGTACAATGAGAATAGAATAAAATAAATGCATGTGAACTAGACCATGAAGGCACATTAATTGGTGATCCTAGGGTAAAAACATCAATATAGAGCATTGGGAAATGGTAGATACTGTCACTTATATGAAGGGGAACAGTGAAGAGGAAAAATAGCCATTCATTCGACAAATTTTTATAAGTCGGATGTTCTAAGCACTGGGAATATAGAGATGATTGAAGGGGCAAGGCAAGGTCCTTCCTTCAAGTGTACACAATTACAGCAAATGCTGAAGCAGCTGTTAGCATCTGCCACGCATTGCTGTAACTCACCACAGCAGCCCTATGACGTAGGAGCTGTTGTACCTTTTCATAGATGAGATGGAGGCACACAGAGGCCCGGGCGGAGAGCCAGGATTTAAACCAGGTAGAGTAGGACTTGCTCTGTGCTTTCACAATTACATGTATACTTCTTCCCAAGTTCAGATTGTGATAAATGGCATGAAGGAAACAGGGTGCTATGATAGAGTAACCCTTTAGACAGGGTGGCTGGGAAGAGTTGACATGAGTTTGAGACCTGCAGGTTGAAGGGAGCTGGGAGATTATTTTGATCCAAGGGCACAGCAGGAGCGAAGGCCTTGAGGGGCTGAGGAATAGGAGCCCCCTGGGGCTGACGTGGGGAAGAGGCTGCGGAAGACAGGGCTCTGATCACAAAGGGTTCTCAAGACCATGTTAAAGCAAATGATGACCCGTCAGGGGCTTTCACCAGGGCAGACACAGTCTCACTTCAAAAAGCTCACTTTAGAGGGAGACTAGGTAGAATGGCAGGAGGGAGATGGTTGAGAGGTTAATGAACACATGAACAAAATGATAGCTTGGACAAGGGTGGTGGCCAGAGAGGAAGAAATCCATGGGTTTAAGATAATGTTTGAAAATGTGATGGGGTGGCAGTGGAAGATGGAGGAAATAAACAATGACGCTTAGATTTCTGCTTTGAGCTGTGGCATGAATGGAATTGAGTGGTATGCCAGTTAGGAGGCATGTTCTGGAGCCAGGTTACCTAATTGCAAATCGTGGGTGCCATATTTAGGAGATGATAGATAATTTTGGGCAAGTGGTTCTCTACCCCTCAGTTTACCTATCTGCAAAATGGGGATAATGATAGGCCTCACACAACCAAGAGATAGGAATTAAAGGAGTTGAGGCATGTTTATCACTTAGAATAATTAGTGCCTCTCACTTTGAGGGTTCAATACATTTACCTCTTATTTTAGTGGAGCTAGTTATGATGTGGGAAGGGCTTCTGTTCTTAACCTAAGTATGAAGTGTTGGAGACATCCAGCTGGAAATGCCATGTAGCTGATTAGATATATGTACCTGGAGTTTAGGAGATAAGCCAGGGCTAGGGATAGACTTGGAGATAAAAAGGAGACAGTCTTTAAAGCCATGGGTCTGGATGGGATCACCTGCACCAAAATCTCACAAATCACCGCTAAAGAACTGACTCGTATAACCAAATACCACCTGTTCCCCAATAACCCACGGAAATAAAAAAATTTAAAAATTAAAAAAGTTTCACAGAAGCAGGAAAAAATGAAAAGGGAGTACAACACAGGGCTCTGGGGCATACCAGCACTGAGGCAATGATTCTAAAACCTTAACGTCCCAGGAGTCATAGGTGAGCTTGTTAAATGAAGATTCTGATTCCGTAGGTCTGGGGTTGAGACTAAATCTAGGAAGCTCCCAGATGTGATCAATGTTGCTGGTTCCCCAGACTGTATTTGGAGTAGCAGGAACTTAGAGGTTAGATGAAGGATGAGATCAAGAGGGATAGGAAGAGGATAAGATGAAAATGAAGATAAAACAGTATTTCCGGAAGGCAGGAAGGTCGACTGAGTCAAATCCTGCTGGGAGGTTGAGAAGGTGAAGACAGATGGGTCCATTGGATTTGAAAGCACGGAGGTGACTGGTGAGGTTGAAGAGAGAAGTTTCCATGGAATGGTGTGGATGAAAGCCAGTGTTAAATCAGATAGCAAACAGAAGTAGCACTTCCTAGATGTTTTGCTGTAAGAAAGTAGAGAAACTGGTGATAACTAGAATGGCATTTGAGGAAACGGGAGGCGCTGAGTATGTTGGCATCTTAAAGGGAATCATTTGGTGAAGAGCAGCTGATGGCAGAGCAGAGACGGGAATGTCTGCAGGAGCAAAGCCCTTGAATAGGCAGCAGAGATGGGGTCCTGAGCGCCAGTGGAGTGATTGGCCCCTGAGGGAGCAGTGATGTTCCTTTAACTGTAGAAGGATAGAGCACCCAGAACACAGGGCTAGTTAGATAACTTTATATATTTGGTGGGGAAGGTGAGACTCATTTGTTTACTCAATGAATTATGAAGCAAAGCCATCAGCTGAGACAGGTAGGATGCTGAGGAGAGAGGAAAATATGTGAAATGATTCCCAGGCATTAGGAAATTGAAATGATCAGGAAGGCATAGTGTATTACAGGATTGTCCGATAGTGTTGAGACATTACTAGAAGATATTACGAGAAGACATTATTAGAAATGTGACGTTATTAGTGTGACACTACAAGTGGGACTTGCATTCTAGAAAGGTCTTCATCCTAGTAATGTCACACTTCTGGAGCAGGTGTGGGAAGAGTCAATTTTAGGTTTAGCCAAGCTTGGGGTTTAACCAGTTGAGCGATTGGCCTCTGAGGGAGCAGTGATGGTCCTTTGATTGTAAAAGGATAGAGCAGAAGACAGGGGTAGGGCACCCCTTGTGAATGTCAGCAAAGGAGGGATTATAATGACCCATGGAATCCTGAAGGTGGGATTCTGGAGCTGGCTCACTTCTGTGGATCAGGTTTTGGTATAGCCAGGAAATTGGGTGGCTAAGGTAGAGTAGAGTGAAAATGCTTGGAGGTGAGAATGTTATTAACAGGATGAGAGAAAAAAGATTTTGTACAGGTTATATAGAAGACTGCTGAAGCCCTGAAAATGACATCAGAAGCTGCGGTGAGCAAGAAGCTCTAGTCTCTCTGATGAATTAGGGGCAGGGAGAAGGTCAGTGGTTCCTAAGCGCGGCTGCAATTCAAAATAGTCAGAGGAGCCTTATAAAGGATTTAAGGTATCCGGGTTGGGGCCCAAACTTCAGAATTTTTAAAAAGCTTCCCCAATGCTTCTAATGCAACTGAGAGTCACAGCCGCTGCTGTGGATGACAGTGATGGGGTTGGGAAAGGAGGTGGATAGTACAGCCAGGTGGCAAGAATTTCAGCCTCTGGGCTTTTTAAAATAGGGATGAGGAGAGAAGGGTTGGACATAGTAAAGGGGGCCAGGAGGAATCTCCCCATTCTCCTGGCCATGGAGCTCCTGGAAGTTCACGCCAGGTGGCCCAAGTTCTTGGAATCTGAAATTCGAATACAATATCCCTGCAAGTTTGCTGTTAAAAGCAGGATCTGGGCTACAGAAGATGGTGACAGAGAAGGAGGCATCTGCCAGGAAACTGATCTGTAAGTGGATGAGTATATTCTAGCCACTCATTCACTGTGACCTCAAATAGGAAAGTTACAAAAAGTTCAATGACAGATTTGGGTAGAATCACACCATGATCCTACGTGGGGAAAACAACTGGGGGTGTGCTTTGGAAGAAAAAGCACTTTGCTATATAGGAAGTTTATTTTAGTTCAGTGTCTTTCAAAGTGGAGCTGCTGTTACAATGCTGATTTGAGGGACGCTGTGCTGGATTTACCAAACTGGTCTCTAGAGGGGTCATCCTGAGGGATTCTGCATTTTTGACTAGTACCCTGGGGTGATTCTTAGGTCTGAGAAAGGAGAAAGCAATGTTCTCATCTTGGTAGTGGATTAGAATCAGCTGGGGAAACTTAAACAGTGTTGGAGTTTGAGCACAGCTTCAGACCAATTAAATCAATTAAGAGGAAGCCTGAGTGTTGGCGTTTTAAGTCCCCTACATGGTTTAACGTGCATCTGAGATTTCACACTCATTGCCTACACTCTGATTTTTTTGAGAGATCCCAGTCCCTGGCTGGACAAGACAGGGGAGTATCCTATTTTTTTCTCAGGGGCTTTAAATGCCACATGTATGCCTTTAGCCAGACGTTGCTCCTCAACCACAGACTCACATAACCACCTGTTTACTCACCATTTTGTCTTGGATAGGAGACATCTCAAAGTTAACATGTCTGAAGAATAAATCTTGGTTTCTACCTCCCAAACATACATTCCCTCATCTCAGTTAGTGGCAGCTCCATTCCTCCAGTTGTTTGGGCCAAACTCTCTCCCATTCTGTGTCATTGGTAAGCTGTAGCTCTGAATTATTTATAGCTCTGAATTATATGCCCACTACTAATCACTTCTGTTGTGATTACCCTAGCCCAAGCCAGCATCGCCTGGTGACTGCACTATCGCCACAGCTGTCTTTCTAGTCTTCCTGCTTCTACCTCTGCCCATCTGCAGTCTGTTCTGCACATAGCAGCCAGAGTGATTCTTTAAAACAATTATTTTTATTGTGGTAAAACATATACAACATGAAATTTACCATTTTACAGTACACAATTCATTGGCATTAAGTACATTCACAATGCTGTACAACCACCACAACAAAACTTTCGTTGTAGAACTTTTTTTCATCATCCCAAATGGAGTAATCCTTTTAAATGTAAGTCACAGCTCGGCCTGCAAACCTCCAGTGGCTTCGCATCTTGCTCGGCAAGGGACAAAGTCCTGCTGTGGCTTACAGAACTTTTGGCGGTCCTCTCCGAACGCTGTCTTCACTCATTTCACTCAATCATTGGCTTCCTTGCTGTCCCTTTGACAAAGTGATCCTACTCCTGCTTCAGGGTCTCTGCATGTGTTTTTTCCTTTGCTGGAATGCTCTTTTCCCTGGATAGCCATTGTATGGCTTCAGATCTCTCCTCAGATACCACCTTATTAGAATGATAGCTAAGATAGCCCCATCCCCATTACTCACTGTATCCGTTTTGTTCTTCATGGCACAAATCACTACCCAACATAGACAAGTATGTTTTCCTCCACTCAAATGTAGGAGCATCATGGGAACAGGGACCACATCTGTTTTGATGGCTGTGGTATCCTCTAAAACAGTGCCTAGCCC